AAACCTGGGTTCTGTTCCCTTCTCTCCTAGAGAATTGTTGGGTGTCAACTGGGGCTAGTCCCTTAATTGCGCTCTCTTCCTTAGTTTTATCCTCTGTGTAAGGCGATTCTTTGCTCAAAGCAGTTTTGTGATGCTTAATACATTAACATTTGTAAAAATGCCTTAAGATCCTTGGACAGTTGGTGCTATAGAAGCGCAAATCAGACTTGTTTTCTTTAATTTAAATACTGAAATTATGATTAGTGCCTCAGTATGTGCTGCTGCTTTTTTTTTTTTTAATTTGCTAAGAAATTTAGAAAGGCAAGGAGTGAGAGATTTAAACAAGTTCTCCTCTGGTAACAGCTCTGTTTTTAACTTCTGGTAATGGCTATCTGTTGTCACAAGACCAAATCAATTTCAAGGGAAAAGCCAAACTCTCTCATTTACATATGGTTAACTGCCCTCTCTTTTTCCTGTTAAACCAGAAAAAAACTAATTAGGAATGAGTCAGCTGTCTTATTAAGAGAGAGAGGGCAGCATGTTCTCTTTTAAATATACTTCTGAGCATACTGTTATTTCAGGACAAGGACAACTGCATAATATGGAGGTTTGGCCATTCTTTGATGAGATAACATTGCTTTTCTCTCTCTCAAAATCCTGTGAATGCACAGCCAAATATTACCAATAAGAGGAGCTGCTATTTAGTTTCAGTGTAACCAAATCCATTTCCACATCAAGCCAGAGGGACTGTATAAAATAGCATAGTCGACAATTACTGTGCCCATGCACAGAAAAATCTCTACAGTGACATTCCTTTATGATTAAAACTTTGCTGGAAATCATGAATGAATTATGGAAAAGCGAGCTGGGAGAAATCAGACTGATTAGCTGAAGGACTTGGATAAAAGGACATTGCTGAGACCTTTGTATTCTAAAGGATTATTTACTGTCTGGTTACAGAACATCTTAAGTCATTTTGCAGAAGGAGTCAGTTGCCTGTTTAGCGCACTGTTTTTGTAAGCTAATGAGGGCAAAGCATGAGCCATAGGCAATGATGCTGTGATATTAGCTGTGACAGGGAGCTTGATCATAATTATCTTAACGAGGATAGGGTTAATTACAGTGGAAACTTAAAGTTCTTTCTGTACAGATCAGGCAGAGCTGAATACATTGTGATGTTTTGTCATTTTGATGTGACTTTGGAAATTGCAATGGAAATCTCTTGGCAGCACTTGCTCTCCTCTGGGAGTGGAGTGTGAGCCCTGCAATGAGGTAACTGAGATGGTACCTGTGGGTGAGATAATGGGCAGCTTTCATGTCATTAGAACAGGGAAAAAGCAACCTGCAATACTCTTCAGTGATGCTTATTATCTTTCTAAATCAACTAGGGAAAAGAGCTAGCTGCCACTACCCCTTATGTCCTGGTTCTATTGTGGTGTGAGGCTGTGTCTGTTAATTGACCAAGATGGGAGTTGCTCCCCTGCTATGAACTATGAGGAAGCATCCGAGATTTCATTTTAAGATGTTGCTGTTTCTCAGAAAATTCCTCCAGCTTTCTCTGTCTGTCTAGGTTTTGTTGTTGTTTGTTTGTTTTGTTTGTTTACCATTCTTCTCACAGTGATATAACTGCTGCTTTTGCTGTCTCTCTCACCCTTTCACTTTTGGGTATGTTAATAATAAAATATTTTGAATACAATAATGTGTTCCTTCAAGCACTTCATTGAAAGGGTAATATTTTATGTTGTACTTTTATGGCACCTGTCACCTGAGGCCCTCAAAACATTTTCCAAACATCTATTTGGCCTCACACCTGTATCAGGTAGGCAGGTTTTATTCCCACTCCACAGATGACAAACCACGGCACCCAGAGGTTATGTGACTTGCTGAAGTTCAAGTAGCAAATCGACTTATACTTCCAGCTTATGCTTTTCAGTCCCAGGATATAACTACTAGATGACATTCCCCTTATATGTTATGATGAGGATACACTTGCACTTTAATATAGATTTGATAACTTATATCACTCATGATAGCAAACAAAATTTCTTCCTTGTTTCCTCAACAACTTTCAAATGAATTTCTTTTTTGATTCTTTAGTGGGACTAGGAGGGGGGGAAGCTGACAATTCTGTGAATAGCAAAATAACATATGGATGTAAATTTATGTTAATTGTCTACACCCTCTCTGCACTGTAGCAATCCCTGCCCTGTCCCTAGGCTCTGAATTTAGCTGATTAAATCACCAAGTGCACACCATGCTGATGACATAAAAACAACAATTAATAAGCAACCCCCTGTGTAACACGGCTCCTTTTTAACTGAGCAGTTAATAACATTACATGGCAAAAATTATCAAAACCAGACAGGTGTAAGGGGATTTACACACAATTTTCTCTACTCATCTATAAAGCTAGTACCATTGTACTCAGCCTAAGATTTAGAAAGAAAGGCCGTTTCAATAGGCAACTCCCTCTAGTGTTTCAGGGCCTTTGTCCCACTTCATGGCTTGTCATTTTGTTTTATGCCTCCCCTGCAGCAGTTTTGGATGTATGCTTTCTTCTCCTTGCCAGTTGCCAACCATTTGCTGATTCTCATGATAAGGGCATTATATTTGCATAACATAACTCAGGAACAATGTGTATTTTGATGCTGACACTGACCAGAACCCAAGCAATGTTTATTCACATAGGATCTATTAGTGTCCCATAAGGCTCTGTGGTGCTGACAGGGTAGTGGTCTATTTTGAACTCCTTTTGGCAAGCAGAAGCCTTATATTAAAAAGTGAGGGTTGGATATACTCCACTATTAACTATTTATATAATGAAGAGTGTTTAAGAGGAATTTTCTAAACTAGGTTTGTCAAATAAACAAATTAAAAATCATAACAGCATAATAAATTAGCTCCTACTTCCTCTAGATTGCTTTTCTTTCACCGGTACTTGTGCAGAAGCATTGATGCAGACCTGGGTTCTAATCCGGATCCTGGCAGAGGCCTTGTACGGAGTGCTTTGCTGGTATAGCTATACCAGGACACTATACCTAGGCTGACCAGATAGCAAGTATGAAAAATCGAGACTGAGATTGGGGGGTAATAGACGCCTATATAAGAGAGAGCCCCAAATATCGGGATTGTCCCTGTAAAATCGGGACATCTGGTCACCCTAACTATACCAAAAAAATGCTCCTAGTGTGCATGCAGCTTATGCTAGAAAAACTGCTTTTGTCAGGATAGCTTATTCCAGCTGCCTCCCTGCTCCCTCCCCCACAAAACCCCCTAAACCATAAACAAATAAAATAAGCGGTACGTCTACACTGGGGACCTTTGCTGACACAGCTATGTGGGCCAGAGATCACACCCCTGACTGGCATAGCTATTCCAGCAAGAGGTTGTAGTGTAGACCTGGCCAATGACTTGCTTTGGGCAAATTCACTTAACCTCCGTGTACCTCAATTGCCCATAAGTACAATGGGGTTAAGGATACTTAACTATACTTCCCTCAGATAATGCAGTGTAAGTGTTTGAAGTGCTGTGAGATCCTTAGACTGAAGGTGCTGTTTAAGTACTTGAGTGCTGATTTTTACTTTTGAATATTTATAACTGAGTAGACAGTGCCCTTAAACTTTAGTTTGAAGGTTGCAGGTTTGACTTCCCACATAGGAATTTTCAATTTGCACCCTCTATGCTTCATAATGGCAATGGGGGAGGCGGTGATGGATCTGCAAAAACAACGTCTGGGTTTTTGTTGACTTGGTGGACATTAAATTAATCCATGCAATTAAAAAATCACATTTCATATTAACTGCTGCATATTCCTCCATTAGTGACATGTTCCATATCTCTCTATAAGAGGCTTACCTAATTTTTTTAAATGGATCTTTGCGAAAAGAAACAAAGAAAGAGATGGGGAGTGGAACGGGGGAAATCCCCCTGGTATAAATGTCATTAGAAAATGAATAAATAGTGTAGACTGCATCTCCCTTATTCATCACATTTTATAAAACAGCCAGGAGATACAGTGATGATCTTCCCACTGGTCGGCATAGTAGATCAGCTGTCAAGTCATGCAATCTCAGCATCTCTCTAGGTGTCTGGTAGGTGAATGAGCTGTGAATGTGTGGCTGTTCATTTGCTTCATATAACCTGCTTTCTCTCTTGATTAATGTGGGTTTTTCTCCCCTACCCTCACCCCCCTTAGGAATGTGCAAGCCTATGAAATTAAAAGTTAATTTTGGAATAAGTGCCCTAGCAGAGCAGGGAAGCTAGCTCATCAATATCTTACTCTACTTTCCTAACTGGGTGATGGTTTCCCACAGATACCTAGTATTTGCATTTTCATTCTGTAAAGTTCTTCTTTTTAAAATTGCTTTCTACAATTTGAACCCTGGGTTGCGGCAGTAGGTTTTAAAATCAAAGCATATGGCTTCTGTGTCTGGAGCAACTCTGCAGATATGAAGCATTTTATGTTGGTCGCAGAGATGCAAGCAGTAGCAAATTAAGCAGTTAATAAAAAAGAAGAAAAATCCCCTCAGCTTTTCCTATAATTGCATGTAGGGTAACTGCTAAGAAATGATACTTGAAGTTGTATTTATTATTGTTATTGGGGTATGATATTTCTTGGCAGAAATGATGGATGACAACTTAAATTGGTGTCCAGGGAATGAAGGTGAACTGTGACAGAGTTATTTATCTTGGGAATGGAGGTTAGGGTCAGGCGAGGCTGGGTGCCTGAAGGCACAAGACATTGACAAATTCATCCTGCAGGCCCCATATCTGAAGCCTTTTGTTTTGGATCCTGGCTACTCACTAAGTGACCCCCATCCTTCATCCTGCCAGCATGTGAAGGATGTGTTGCCGTGCCAGCATTCCCCTTGCCACTAATTCTTGTCATTCACTCTCCTGACAGGGCCAAACCAAAACTGTTCCCTCTCTTGAAAGGGAAGGTTAAAATATTTATTTCAGCTCATAATGGCCTCTCTGATTTAATGGAGTATCATTTTTCCTGTTGTCTTTGTCGTTTGCAGGTCACTAGAAGGACTAAAAACATTCAGTTGCCTGGAAGAGTTGATCTTGGACAACAATCTCCTCGGAAATGACCTTCGGTTACCCAGGTTACCTCACCTCCATACCTTAACGCTCAACAAGAACCAAATATCCTTTCAAAGAAATACCTGCAAAATGTCAAATGAGTTTTATGTGTCAGCCAAATTAAAGTATGTGAAATATAGTTCATGTGCAGACAAAGCAGCCTCTCTCTTGGCACCTGGAATACTTCACAGTAATTTATTATAGGTCATTCATAAATGAAATGCACCATTATATCTTCCTGTTGCTCCATTTTAGAGTGAGATCTAAGTTATGGCTCTGAAGGAATCTTTTTTAATAGATAAAATAGAGAAAGAAAATAATGTCAATGCTGGCAGTGTGCAGCAGCTCCCGTGTTTGCTTGGGGTTTTGTTGCAGGCTGACCTCTAGTGGAATAGAGCGTGCAGTGAAATAGCATAAACTTTTAGTACTTTGGATACCTCTTTTTAAAACAAAAAAACTCCTCGGATTTAGTGATCTGTTAATGCAGTTGGTCAATATGAACAGCTTGGTAGCTGCTGCGCGCGTGCAGTTCTGAGTCAGTCACTGAATTGATGACTTTCCCTATTAGCTACCCAAAAAACCCCAAACGATGAAGGCAATTTAAACGTGGGTCCAATTCAATATGACATTTAAGAATGTGCTTAAGTCCATCAGTAACCAGCAAAGCACTTAAGCATGTGCTAAGTGCCATTAGAAGCAATATTTTAGTGCATGTGTTTACATGTGCACATGCGCACACACCTATATTCACCAAAGATAGGGGTGATCAAACTGTGGCCTGAAGTCAAATGAAGCCTGCTGAGTCCTGAAGCACAGACCATGGAGGCCCCTTCCTTGTAATGGCAGTATAAGGACAAAGCTGCTCAGGCGTTTATTACAGTAAATGCAAACAGAAAAGCAATTTATAGTCATCTATTGTGGTGCATAAAAAGTAGCTGCAAATATTAGAGTTGCACACATTTATCTTTGACTTTTTAAATTTAAAATATTGAAAACATATGAGCAAAATTAGGTGTAATCTTGGGATCTGAGTAACTTGCCAGTGCAGCCCCCTGTGTTCCAAAGATCACCTCTGTACTAGTTTAATTTGGTTGGGTTTCTGGTTAATGGCAAGGTTCTGAGGGTTGGATATAGACAACTATTCTGTTTTATTATTTGCTTTTACAGTAAAACCTTGATCAAGCACACTACGACACAGCACAAACAAAAAAATTCTTGCTGATCCTTCCCCCTGGTACAAAATCTGATGAAGCATTCCCCCAACATGGGGCATATAGTGTGGGTTGCCAGATCAGTGTGTGTGTAGTGCTGCATTCCCTGTTGCCAAGTAGAGGACACTCTCCTGAATCAAGACAGAATGAACAGAATCAGAGAAGGAAATATCTTTAGTGCAATTTAAAGAGGTTCTGTTAGAATTACAATGATGTTCAATATATAGCACCAAATCCTGCTTGCCATACTCCAGTGAACAGTCCCTCAAAGTAACTGTGAGTAAGGTGAGCAGGGTTTGGTCCATGCAGCAGTTTTTTAAAATACAGTTTTAAAATTATGAAGGCTAGTTCTCCGGGTGTATCTCTGAAAACTCAGTTGTTCTGTGGGATAAGGAATTACATATACCAGTGTACATTCCTGTAGTGTGTGGCCAATAATTTAACAATGGATGTACACAAAATTTGTTAGTACAGTCAAGGCTGGGGGGAGGAGGGTGTTGAACTTGCAGAGAAGGGGAAAAAATTGCTCTTCAGAAGTATTTTTGAGTTCTATAGATAGGTGATCTTTGGCAGAGAGGAAGGAGATCTACCATAATCTTCTCTTCAGTTTGGATGGCACATTTGAAGAATGAGGATTCATGTGAGCCTCCTGCAGCACATCAACTGGTACATCCTTTACTTGGCTATTTGCAAGGGGCCATGGATATTTAATAGCATAATGAAATGTGTACCATAGGGGATCAGTTTATAGTGGACTGCAGTGATATTAGAAGCCAGAGTGCAGTAGCACTGTGGAAAAGGACATGACAACGGGGGGAAGAACCATCTAGAATAAAACAGGAGTTGTTCTATCCTTCCAAAAGGGAAATATTCACAATCCATTTTATTTCTGAGATGACCTATGGTGCATGGAGTAGAAGGGAAGGAAATTAAATGCTTAATGGTGAAAATCTGTGGAAGAAGCAGGTAGACTTGAAGCCTAAAAATTCCTAGTCCTGTTCCCGAGCAGTGATTAGAGCACTTCAGCAGCCAGTAAGTCATGGCTCTCTGAACTCTTCAGGATAATGAACTGCTGTATCCATTCTCATTAACTTCACACTACCCTGGAAGAAGACGGCATTGCATGTCATGAAGAATGGTCACCCTATTTGGCAAGAAGGATCACCTGGATTCAGGGTATGCTCTCCAGGCAAAAGGAATTTATATTGAGCCCAGGATTAGAAACATCCCTCCCCTTTGCCAGTCTTTGTCTCGTGCTCACAACAAGAGACTCTTGAAATACTACAAGAAAGCTTAGTTCAGACCTATGCCCTTCATATCTGGGAATCTACCTACACAGAGATGCATAAATACCACTTTGGAAGATCACTCGCTCCCAAAGTATGCAGTAAGTTTGGTCAGTACTAAGAAATCTATCCCTGGGCCTATCAACCTACTGCCTGTACACAACCCTCTATTTTCATCAAATTATATACAACACTAGCAAAGAACCATTTTCAGCTGCACCTTGTCTGTTGCCAAGATTCTGTACCTCTGCCAGTAAGGCTTGAGGTCAGAAGATGGAACCGAAATGGCAGCATTTGTGCTGATGGATGACGTCATATTGCACCCAGACAGGGAGGATATCTACTTGCGTATTACTAGATATTTCTGTGGTTATCCCACCTCGAATACCTAGCAGGAGCTAGTGGAAAGCAGGCAGTTGGCTGAGGTCCTTTCACACTGCACGTAGGGTATGCCTACACTACAGCTGGGAGTCTACTTCCCAGCGGGCCTAGGCAGACACATGATAGCTCTGCTCGAGCTAGTGCACTACAAATAGCAGTGTAGTGAGGGTTAGCAAGGGCAGCGGCTCAGGCTAGCCACCTGAGTACATACTGCAGGGGGTCCTGGTGGGTTTGTACTTCAGCAGCTAGCTTGAGCTGCCACCCCTGCTACATTGCTGGTTTTAGCCCACTAGCTCAAGTGGTGCTAGCACCCGTCTGTCTACCCGTGTTCGCTAGCATGCTCCCAGCTTCAGTGTAGACATACCCACCGCCTCTCTTTCAGAGGCTAACTTTCCTGTTGGTACCACGCCATTCACCTGTGGAATCTCTCCTGAATCTCTTCTGATCATCATCAAATTGAAGCAATCACATTCTCAAATCTAAATAATGTGTAGCTCTACATCTTGCTTATTTCAGTCTCTGGTAGCACTGTTGCCTGGCCAAGATAAGCAGGTGGATGGAAGGTAGATGGGTGAAGCAAAGCCCGAGCAAGACAGACTGGAAGGTATGAGGGAAAAGAGAAATCGGTGCAGCTGCCAAATATACCTTCCTCCATCTGCTCTTGGCAAGAGCAGAGAATACTATCAGACCAAGGTCTGGTCTTCATAATGTCCAGGCTGGATTACTGAAGCTCATTGTATTAGGAATTACTGCACTGACCTTAAAATGTGGGAGCTCCAAATGATTCACAATGCAGCAGCCCATCTCCTGAATCACACCAGCTACCAAAAGCATAACACAATTTACTACATTGGCTTGCCATAGAATATGGGTATTCATATGGCGATCTCCAAGGCTGAGGAAGCTCTCCAGCTAGAGAGGACTGCTGCCACACCACCGGGGGAGGAGGATACAGCTCAGTCACAGGGAGGACCCTGGCTGCTGGTTACTTCTGGTAGCAGGCAGCAGGCAGTGCTCCCTCCCTGCTCCCAACCCATCCATCATATTGATGAAGAACAATTATGCTGCCCTGGAAACAAGGGATGAGGAATTGCCCCCAAAGGTGGAGAAGGAGAAGCTCTGTACTTCAAAGGCTTGGTCACCACTCCCAAGAGGAAATGAAGGGTAGTGGTGGTCAGTGACTCCCTCTCAGGAGGACGGAGGCAGCCATCTGTCATCCTGATTAGCATCTTGAATGGAGTGTTGCCTGCCAGGATCCTGTATCAAGACATTATAGAAGGAGTGTCAAGGATCATCCAGGCTTCTCACTACTACCCAATGCTACTCATCCATGTGGGCATTAATGATACTGCAAGGTATGACCCTCAGCAGATCAGAAGTGACTACAGGGCTCTGGGAGTAAGGGTGATGGAGCAGGTGGTGGTCTCTTTGAGCCTTCTGGTCAAGGGTAGGAGCCCAGGCAGAGAAAAATGCATCTTGGAGGGGAATGCATGAATTTGCCGATGGTATTGCCAGGAGGCAATACCAGCTTCCTTGACCACAGGATGCTGTTCTGGGAAGGAGGACTGCTGGCAGAGATGGCATCCATCTATTGAGGAAGGGGAAGATATCTGTGGATAAAGGCTGGCTAACCTAGCAAGATGGGCTTTAAACTAGGTTCTATGGGGGCAGGAGACAAAAGCCCACAGGTAATTCAAAAACATGGAGACCTGGGAGAAGGGTCAAAATCTGGGGAGAGCATGGGCAATTATATCAGGGAGAAAAGAGGGAACATAGAGGAGATATCAAATCAGTATCTTAGATGTCTGTATACGAAGATGTGTACACTTGCACTGAGGTTGATATGGAAATAGGAGGAGGACTTGTTGAAAGTCTCTGGGTAAGGATAAAAGGGATAAAAAACAAGGGTGATGCCATGAAAGGGATCGACTGATTAAATAATTAAAGATCTAGAAAACATCCTATGAGGGAAGATTGAAAAAAATTGAGTTTGTTTAATCTGGGAAAGAGAAGACTGAGAGGGGACATAACAGTTTTCAAGTACATAAAAAGTTGTTACAAAGAGGAGGGAGAAAAATTGTTTTCCTTAATCCCTGAGGATAAAACAAGAAGCAAAGGACTCAAACTGTAGCAAGAATGGTTTAGGTTGGACGTTGGGAAGAATTTCCTAACTGTCAGGGTGGTT